TATTTCCTATTGGGTAAGCTATGACAGTTTGTGTGTTTTGAAGAATTGGTCTACTGCATCTGTCAAATTTGTGTGCATTGATTTGTCCATAATATTCCCATATTATCACTTTGATGTCTGAGATCAAAGTGTAGAGATCACTTTGTCTCTAGTGATATGCCTCGTTTCATTTTGATATTGGTAATTTGAGCCTTTCTTTTACTTCTCTATCTCTCTTTCATTCTTACTAGATGCTTGCCAATTTTATTGCTCTTTACAAAATAACAGCTTTTTTGTTTCATTGATTTTCTCTATTGTTTTTCTGGTTTTCATTTATTGTACTTCTGCCTTTCTCTTTATTCTTTCTTTCTGTCTGCCTGCTTTGAGTTTATTTGCTCCACTTTTTTGTGTTGAACCAGGAAAGCTTAGATTATTGATTCAAGACTTTTCCTGTTTTCTTTTTTTTATTTATATATTATTCTTTAAATTTATGTATGTGTGTATGTATGTATGTATGTATTTAAATGTTTCAAGTTTTTATTTAAATTCCCATTAGTTAACATATAGTGTAATATTGGTTTCGGGAGTAGAATTTAGTGATTCATCACTTACATATAACACCCAGTGCTCATCATAACAAGTGCCCTCCTTAATACCCATCACCCATTTAGCCCATCCCGCACCTGCCTCCCCACTTTTCTGTTTTCTAATGTAAGTATTTTGTGCTATAAACTCTTCTCTCAGCACCGCTTTTGCACTATCCCCAATTTTTTGATATTTTGTATTTTCATTTTAGAGTTTTCATATAATTTTTCTGTCCCACCCTCTTTCTCTTCTTCAGAGATGAGGATGACAAGAATGTGAGATATTTTGTTATTGTCCCAGGGGTCCCTCAGGCTCTGTTTATTATTATTGTTATGCTTATTAATATTCAGTTTATTTTCTCCCTAATTCAGATTGTAAATGTATGTTGTTCTTTTGTTAAGTTCACTGAATCTTTTCTCTGTGGCTTCCATTCTTATGTTGAGCCTGTCCATTGAATTTGTTTCTATAACTAAATCTTTCATGCATATTCTTCTCTGAGCCTACCTGGCTTTTTTCACACCAGCTCACAACACCTTAGTCTTTCTAGACATCTTTGTTTTTTCTACCTTATATCTTCAGATCTTCACACTTTTTACTTTTGTGAGAGCTTCATGAATTGTTTGGGAAGGAAGACAGCTGTCGGTATTTGCTCACCATCTTATCAGAACTTCCTCAAATTTTCAATGTCCATCTTTGGAGTAATTTCAGTTTTAGCATCACCAGAAAAAAATCTTTAAGGCACTTCTTTTCCCTCATCTGATTAATACTTTTAATTTATTGTGTTCCCATTTGTTGTTTTCATAAAATGCTCAAATAAATCCAACTCAATTTTTTAAAATTTGAACCTTCTCAAAGTATTTTTTAATTTCAGTTATTTTTTTCATTCATAAAAATTCCAGTTGATTGTTCTTTATGTCTTTTATTCTTTGCTGGGGTCTTTCTTTCTTCTTTCTTTTTCTTTCTTTCTTTCTTCTTTTCTTTTTTTTTTCTCTCTTGACTTTCTAATTTTTCTTTTCTGCAAGTGTTCATAATTGTTCGTTGAAGTACTTTTATGATAGTTGCTTTATAGGTAATTCTAACACCTCTTTCATTGCAGTGTTGATTTCAATTGATTGTCTTTTTCATTTAATTTAAGATTTCCCTGGTTATTAGTACTACAGGTGATTTTTTAATTGAAATCTGGACAGATTTGTCATTATGTTAGGAGTTTCTGGATCTTACTTAGACTTTCTGTTGTAGCTGGCTTCCTCTGAGACTGGTCCAGAAGTAGAAGGCAAGTACTCAGCCTTGTTACCGCCAGATGTGGGTCCCCTACTTGGCCCCTTTCACATCAAGGTGAAGGGGGGACTCCTCATTACAGCTGGTCAGAATAGGATTTTTAGGTGCCCACTGACTTTTGCTGGTAGGAAGGAGAAGAGGATACTTCCAATTTTTGAACCCTGATTTTGATATGCATTCAGATATCCATGTAGAAATGTAGATGGGATGCTTGCATGTTGGCAGCTCCAGACATGCTCTATAGGAAAGATGGCTATGGGGGCAATCTTCATATCTGGTTTATCACTAGGACAATTATATCTTAGATGATTTTATGTAGCAAGGATGGTGTTTTTTCTTAGCATGCTTTTTTGAGGTTGTAGGCCAAAAAATGTTTGGGTAAATCCACTACTCAAACCACTTAAACACGTCAAAATTTAGGAAGTCAGATATTTAGGCCTTGGCTGCATGATAGGAGTGGGTTAATTATTGGTTTAGATGTCGTTATCTCAGAATGTAATATTAAGCTCTGTGATAAAATTTTAAAAGGGGGGATACAGAGAATGAGAGAACAAAATACTATCAACAGTTACTTACAGAAGACAAATAGTTACTGGTAAACTTGGGAATGAAAGCAAAATGAGAGAAAAGAGAGGAAGAGTATGGGTCTTTAAATCCAGGGATGAAGAGTGTTCTAAAAAAGAGAGATTATATGATAAAATAATACCAAATATTTATTGGGCTCCTGAAATAAACACTTTAAATGACTTAATTTATCCTTGTCAAACAAATAAAAAATCAATCAAATAAAAAATGTGACTTATGGATTATTCACCCAATTTGACAATTAATAAAACCAAGACACTGAGTGGTTAAATAAAGTTGGTACAAGTCATTTAAAGGGAGTTAAGCATATCATAAAAACACACACAAAATATCCAAAGTCAGAATTTAGCAGTATTGATTTAGTGTAACCTAGTAGAAATACATTTGGTCTACAGCATTTAGACTTGTCACAGATGCTTTTAGGTGAAGGGATGATTCATCACGTATCTTTATGTCTAGGTAAAAAGAAAAAGACAAACAAAGGAAAAAAGAACAATGATATTTATTATCTATATCATCCTGTTTTTCTCAGTGTCTTAGTATGCTGATGATAAGAGTGTGGCTTCTTCCCATAAGGCATCTGGCAGTCCCAGGAACTACTAACCGTTTTTAAGTGATTACATTTATATTGTGCTATCTATATATTTGACTCTCTTGTGATTACACTTGGTAGCGTCCAAATCTGATCAAATATGTCACTTGGACAAGGCAAACAGTTGACCATTCACCAGAAGGATGCCACTGTTTAAAGAGTGTTGATATGCATCCTTGGGTGGCCTTTATCTTGTGCGGGCCCCTGCATCTTCAGTTATGTGTGCTTTCCATACAACCAAATAGGCCAAATGAAGATGACTAATATAAATTAGATGGTATTTTCTTTGCCTAAGAACGATTTCCCTCTCATTTTTAAGCAAGAGGAGATGGCTTATTTTTTATGTGCATTAGGCAACACTATAATCCCACATACTACAGTAGGTGAATCTTATCAAAATTAGACTGAGACAACTTAGAGAAAAAAACAATACTATTGGCTAAGATATTGTATGGTTATATAATTATAAACCACAGTCTTGGATAAAGGTCCCTAGAGAGCTTCATTACCAAGCCAAATGATGCTAGTTGTCTGTAAAATGTTTTATAGGAAGATGATTATATGCTATTGTCTTTCCTTTAAGTAATAACTCCAGTTAGAAAAGTTCTTCACTCATGAAATTTGTTCTTAATGGCATAGCTTATTAATTGATTCTTGTTATTTAAGCACTCATACAATGAATTGCTTTAAAGACAAAAGAAAAAAACTACTAAAGTTTATTCTAGCTCTTATTGCTTTGCTGTCATAATGACAAACATGTAATTCAAGTTTTCTATTTTATATTGAAATTGTGAGTTAAATTTCTTGATCAATATAAGAAATAATGTCCCCCTACTCTACATTGTTTGACTCTTAATTTAATGTTTGTTTGTATATCTGCTATCCCTCTATCCTGTAAGTTTCCTCTATGGATCATTTAAAAAAAATCATTAAAACAGTACACACACACGCACACACATAGGGGCGCCTGAGTGGCTCAGATGGCTAAATGTCTGCCTTCGGCTCAGGTGATGATCTCCAGGTCCTGGAATCGAGCCCTGTGTCAGGCTCCCGGCTCAGTGGGGAGTCTGCTTCTGCCTCTCTCCCCTGCTCATGCTCTCTCTCTGTCTCAAGTGAATAAATAAAAAAAATAAAATCTTAAAAAAAACCCAAAATGCAATACATATATACATATGTATATAATTTAATAACTAAAAAATACTAATGCCATATGCTTTTTGAATAGATTATGCAGTGATAAATATCAACACAGTATATATGAAGCACATACATTTATGTAAGAAGTGATTTAGTCATTTCTTTGTGTTATATCATGGGAAAAATACTACAAATCATTCCATAATGATTTTGTGCTTAAATTCATATGAGGAGAACTTGTAATATAAGAACATTGAATCCAAAATAGCATAAATAATTGTATTCCTGAGAATTGATAAAAGTAAGGAGAGAGAAGAAATAAAACAACAAATTATTTATTGGTTTTCTGGTAAAAGTGTTGTGTGTATAGTGTTAACCTTAAAACAAAATAGTTGGTTATTTTACCAGAAAAAAAATAAGTTTATTTGGGAATAACGCATGACAGAGAATTACAGTTCGGGTCATGAATGCTATAGGCAAATCCAACAAAGAAGAATGTTATTTTATGGAGAAGAAGGTAGAAGCTGGGAGAAGTTGTTTTGAACAAAATTCATTTGAGAAAAGCAAGAATTTAGGGTGATGATGATTTCTTATTGGCTGAGTTGCAGGGGTAGTTAATTTATTGTAGGAGATGCAATGTACATCTTTCCCTGTTGGGACCTGTAATTAATGATTCTTTTCTGCCCTCCATTCTTCTGGTGAGGTCTGTAATTGACAGTTCTTCCTGTAATTGACATTGAGTGGTATGGCTCCCCACTTTCAGCTTCCTCTTCTAGCATCCCAAGTCCACTTCAATGAGGTTTCCCGCTTTTAATTTTCACAATATTTTTGTTATAAATTATGGTCAGATCAATGTTTTTGAAAAAAGTGTCTTTCTTACAACATCCTTAAATGCTTGTTTCACCTGCTGGTTCCTCAAAGTGTAAATAAATGGATTCAGCATAGGAGCAACAGAGGTATTGAGCATAGCTATACCTTTTGTCAAAGCAACCCCTTTCTTTGCTGATGTTTTCACATACATGAAGATGCAGCTTCCATAAGAGATAGTGACAACTATCATATGGGAGGAGCAAGTTGAGAAGGGCTTTTTTCTTTGTTGACCTGAAGGGATTTTCAGAATTGTTCTAAAGATGTAAGAGTAGGAGAGGATTACTAACATCAAAGTGGACCTAAGAGTAAGCACAGCTAAAACAAAGCTCATGAGCTCTAGAGTACTCGTGTCTGTGCGAGAGATTTGCAGTAAAGGAGCAGAATCACAGGTGAAGTGGTCAATGACATTGGAGTCACAGAAATCCAGCTGCAGGCCCATGGCCAGTGGTGGGAAGATTACCAAGAAACCAGCCAGCCAAGAGCTGACTACAAGCTGGTAGCAGATCTCGTTACTCATGATGCTTGTATAATGTAGAGGCTTGCAGATAGCCACGTAATGATCATAGGACATACAGGCCAGAAGAAAAAACTCCGTTGAGCCCAGAAAGCTAAAGAAAAACAGCTGAGCTGCACAAGCATTGTAGGAAATAGATTTGTCTCCAGTTAGGATGCTGATCAAAAATCTAGGATTACAGACAGAAGTAAATGAAATTTCTAAGAAGGAGAAATTCCTCAGGAAAAAATACATAGGGGTCTTCGGGTGGGAATCCATCAAGGTAAGAATGATGATGGTGAGATTTCCAGTAACACTCAGTATGTATGTGAGAAATAGAAAGAAGGAAATTACAACCTGTATTTCTGGATTATCAGTCAGACCCAGGAGGATGAAGTTGGTCACTGATGTTCTATTTTTCATTTCTGGTGGTTGATTTTTCACAAATCTTACTGACAAAATTAATACAGACAATAATAAATCAGTTAGACAAATCTAACTATCTGCCCCTATTTTTAAAAATAAGATTGTAAAAAAATTAAAAAAAATAAAATAATGATTGTATTTCCACAAAAAGTACCTGGGGGCTTAAAATTTTTTCCTTCTATAATTACATTCCTCATTTCCCCCACTTCTATTATATATCTTATGGGCATATCTTCTGTGTTTAATATCAGTCTTATTACTCGAATAATGTCCTCTGATTCTTTGCTATATGTTCATACTCTGCCTCCATTTTTACAAATGTTACATGGGAACTGTATTGATTGAACATGAGCTCTTCTCATGCTTCACTTTTTTCCCCCCTAAAATATAGAGGACATTATGTTTTTCTTATGTCATCTTTTCTGAGCATAAAATTCCTACTGCTGACGGAAATTAGTGATCAACCCAACCCTAATTAACACTTTCTAGTGAAAATTCTGAGTGTTCTTTTGGGGAAGTAGTGAATACTACCTCTATTAGTTGATTTATTGCTATTTTCATTGTAAAAATTCAGAGACCAAATCATTCTAATGTTGCATTATGAACTTTTATTTGTATTAAACAATAGTTTATATAAGTAGTACCCATATTTTTTCAAGCCATTATACATTCTATTTCCAGATACACATTGAGCCTTTGGATTCCTATCTTTATTCTTGATTCTTTAAAAAATAGTGTCTTTCTAAACCAAGAAACATACTCTTAACTATAGAGAACAATCTGATGGTTACAAGAGGGGAGGTGGAAGGGAAGATGGGTGAAATAGGTGATGGGGATTAAGGAGTGCACGTGTTATGATGAGCACTGGCTGATGTATGGAATTGTTGGATTACTGTATTGCACACCTGAAAATAATATGGCAATGTATGTTAACTATATTAGAATTAAAATTTTAAAGAAAAGTATCTCTGTATGAAAACTTAACTTAGTGATTTTCACTTTATTATTTCAAGATTCATAATAAAATAACTTTTAAAAATCTAGTTAATAGTTGAACGTCAAAAAATATGTTCACAAAATATTGTTAATGAAGTTCAGCAGTACTCATATCTAGAAATTAGATACAAACACCTTACATATATTATTTAGAACTATTTGGACGCCCACACCAGGAATATCCATTAAGTCTTTCTAAAGTATAAATGTATCAATATTAAGAAAAGTATGCCATGTTTCACATATTTCAGTTAATTGGTAAAAATTACCATTTAAAATACTTTTACATTTCAATTTATTGCACTCTTGAATATATATATATAAGGTAGTATATTATATATATTGAGATAGAGAAACACACCAAAGGGTAATCACTGGTATATAATGAATAGAATAGAAGCTGAAACATCAGATAAATATAAACTGAGAATACTTACATATTATCAAAAGATTGATGGTTAGTGTGGAATATTGAATGCAAACTGATGTACTTAATTATGTTAAATCAAAAGACAAGTGGTAGGCTAATGCTTCATGGAAAAATACCTTTTTTCCCTGTCTTCCCACAAAGCTGTATATTTCCTCACAAAAACCTTGATGTTTCATCTCAAAATATTTAAAGGAATAATTTTCTCATGTTTTTCCCCACCATTGTCCCAAATCTGGAATCCTGAAATATCCCACCTGACATCTTACTAGCAAATCTTTAGATAAAAGTCATAAAAGAAAAACAGCCTAGAATTATTTTTTGATAAGTTATTCTGATATTTCACAGATGACCATTTCCATTTATTTTCCTGAGGAAAAAAGTAAACCTAGCACTTTTAATGTGTTTTGCTACAGAAATATTTGGAAAACATTCTTCGAGATAAATTCTTAATGACTTTTGGGAAAATAGTAATAGGGTACTGATGAATCATGCACAAGATCAACTTTGGTGAGTATATTTTAATTGGCTTATTATAGGACCCGTGTCCCAGGAGAAGTCTAAGGAAATTATCCAGCAGGATGATGACCAGGTATTTGGGGAAGGAGGGAACCTTCACAAAAAACCCAACATTTTCTAATGTTCATATTCCTATGACCTGTTGTCATTGATAACAAAAATGTTATCATTTTTAACACTGTGGGGAATCAGTTTACAGTATGAAAGGCAAACTGGTAGAGACTATTGAGGAAAAAACACTTAGTTCCACTGCTTAAAAAATAATTTTAGAATTATTGAAGACTTTTGAGATACCATTCCAACTAAAATTTCCTTAGGGAATATTTCTTTTAGTTGAGCTAAATAAGTAGTTTACATATAGGGGCATCTGGGTGGCTCAGTTGGTTAAGGGTCCGACTCTTGATATCATTTCAGGTCTTGATTTCAGGGTCGTGAGTTTAAGCCCTTTGTTGGGGTCCATGCTGGGTGTGGAGCTTACTTAAAATAAAATAAAAATAAATAAATAACTAGTTTACATATAAAATTAGAAGCAACTCAAATTTCACATTTATGCTTCTATGTTATTTTCAACATGTTAGTATAAAACCCAAGATATATTTTATTATATAACGTGCACCAAAGCTATTCTTTGTTAATGAGCAAATTAGGCACAGTTCATTCCACTGTGAATAAATATAACACTAAAAAAAACTTCTTTGAAATAGTATCTTCTTGTTAAAACGTACTATATAAACGAAAACTAGGATATTTAAATTACTTTTGTATAACCAATAATAGTACTTCACAGAGATTTAGTTAATAATTGAATTATTAGAGACTTTATTATTATTGTAGAGACAAGTATAATTTAAGAAAAATCACAACATGGATATTTTCAATTTAAAGGAGTTGTTTTCATGTGATATATATAATTTTAAGCATTTTATACCTAATTAGGAAATCTTATTTTAAGCAATAGTTAACCATTTGATATTAGCATAAACATTTCCAGTGTCAATTTTAATGGCTGAATATGGTTTCAGTTTATGGATATGCCATGAGGAATCCTTCTTTGCTGAGCAATTAAAATTTTCCCAGGGGGCGCCTGGGTGGCTCATTCAATTGAGCGTTGGACTCTTGGCTTCCACTCAAGTCGTAATCTCATGGGTCATGGGATTGAGACCCATGTCAGGCTCCATAGTCAGCAGGGAGTCTGCTTGAAGATTCTCTCCCTCTACCACTTCCCCTGCTCTCTCTCTCTCTCTAAAAATAAATAAATAAAATCTTTGAAAAATTTTTTTTACCAGTATAAGTAATATTAGAAGGCATAGACACACATATACAGTTCAGCATGTTGTCCTATTACCTTTTGAGAGTTGTTTCCACAAGAGGAAACATTTAAAAATTTAAGAGAGTAGATCTCATGTTAGGTGTTCTTACCACAGTTTTGAAAAGGGGGCCCTTTTGCGTTTTCCTCTGGGAAGCTCTACAAACAACTGTACTACAGGGGAGAGGGAGGAAGCACCAAAGTATTTGGAACCCAGGCTGTGCACCCTCAAGCAGCCCCAGGATTTATCTGGGAAACCTTGAGGTATAAGCAGCAGTAAGCAGGGGTGTCAGGGGCCTGAAGACTTTCAGCAAAAGTCATTTCTGGATGTCTGCCAAGGAGTGCATATCAGGGGATTGAGAACAAGGATGAGACCCAAGAGAAAGGATGTGTGTGATTAGTTTAGGATGAGGATTGGCTGTCAGAAAATATTTTATGGTGATAGGGAGAGGGATTTCTCAGCTTGGGGGAATATACATACCAAGAATCTCCTTGCTGGGTTTGATATTGTATGTGCTCCCATAAAGTGCTCCTAGTTTTTGGCACGCATGCTTTGTTTGGAGAGCATAAATTAGTTTAGGAACCATGACCAGGAAAGGAACAGGCAGGTAGGCAGCATGGTGTATGGAAAGTTAACCGAATTGGAATGTAGATCTCAATTTGTTTCAATCCACTGAGTCACCTTGGAGAATTCCCTTCCCTTTCTGGGTTTCACTTTTTTCATCTCACAAGTGAGAAAGTTTACTATATCAGGGGTACAAATAAATCTCATCCCATAGGTCAACTCTTATGGTATTGGCACCAAGTTGAGAAGCATTCTGAAGTCATATCCTCACTCTTTGAGAAATAATTATGCCACTTATTTGCAGTGATTTGCTGTAGCCATGGGAAAGGGAGGTTAGTGGCATGTCTCTTTCATTTGCTACCCCCGCAGAATACATCTGTAGTCCCCTCTACGTGGAAAATTCTATTATTCTAAACATTTTAATAGTTACCCTGATGCTTGAGGTTAGAAAATTATTTTTAACCCTTCTCAATCATTTTATGTGATACCCCATACCAATCTTTTACAGAAATAGAGAACTACAGAATCTGTTTTTAGGTATCAAAACTAAAAACATGTATAAAGCACAGAGCCTAGTCATTCAATTTTTTAAGGTTTTCAGTTCCTTCCACTGTGTGCTCTGGTAAGTAAACTTGGCCATACACTAATAAAGTACACACACACACACACACACACACACACACACACTTTACATGAATGGCTTATTCATCTAAGGTTCATGCACCTAACGATATTAATAAAATGTTGGGAATTTCTGAAAGCACAGCACTTAGAACTTTGTATGTTTTTTCAGCAATTCCCTCCATAGTTAAAATACATTTTCAGATTATCTGTTGCTTTATGAATATTTGCTAATTAATACTATATTCTACCAATTTAAAAATAGGAGTTTTTTTTTTTATAATTGCTCATAGTACCATAAATGCATTAGTATCATGTAAGTATACAGTTTTACTCTTTTGTCAATACTTGGAGTATTACAATCTTAAAATATTTATGTTTGTCTCACGTTTTTATTTATTTATTTTTTTAAGATTTTTTATTTATTTATTTATTTATTTGAGACAGAGAGAATGAGAGACAGCATGAGAGGGAGGAGGGTGAGAGG